TGACGAAGCTGAATCCTACGGAGTGGTATAAAGAAGGAGGTTCTGGCTGAAAGCCAGAACCTCAACGAACAATACGAGAAAGGAATTGCTACCCATCGTCTCCACCCATTCCAAAGGTGCTGTGTTTCTAACAGGATGGCCCATCCCAGCTGCGGCTTAGCCGCAAAGACCTCAAGAAATCCTGCGGTCGGTTTCCTGAGACAACGTGCCTACTTTTGCCCCCCCCCCCCCTTAGTCATTTGTTAACCTATAAAACCACTACTTTTGACCATTTTCTAACCTTTACATCTCCACTACCATAACATTAAGAATAAACTTCATACATTTCAAAACTCATTTAAAAATAGTTTAATAATGTTGCTTTGTAGCAGCATACAGGCCTGTAATTCAGCGCCTGGGAGCCTGTGGAAGCCTGTAGTGCAGGCTTCCTTCAGGGGAAGAAGTGCAAGTACAGTTCTCCGGAGGAGCGCTGTAGGGGTACGACAGCAGAGCTTACTAAGGTGCTGAAGGAAGTGTCAGAAACACTGCACCCTGGATTGTGAGGAAATGATGGAAATTGAGTTGGTCTCCAATTGATTGTATTGCCTGAGGTCCTTGTTGAGGTTCTGGCTGAACGCCAGAACTGTCAGAAAGAAAGGGGTTCAGGGGCCCTGGACTTCCGGTCAGCGAAGCTGACTGGATGCCTGGCACCGCCTGAACGCCAGTCAGCCTCAGCCATGGTGTTGACGAAGCTGAATCCTACGGAGTGGTCTTTAAAGAAGGAGGTTCTGGCTGAAAGCCAGAACCTCAAGAAGAAACCACAAGCAATACAATCAAGCAATTACTATCCATCGTTTCCACCCATTCCAAGGTGCAGTGTTTCTGACAAGAACCTCCTTCTTTATAGACCACTCCGTAGGATTCAGCTTCGTCAACACCATGGCTGAGGCTGACTGGCGTTCAGGCGGTGCCAGGCATCCAGTCAGCTTCGCTGACCGGAAGCCCAGGGCCCCTGAACCCCTTTCTTTCTGACAGGAAGCAACGAAAGGCCTGTACTACAGAACCCAAAAGACAAGTTACAGCGGACTATGCGCTGTAAAACAACAGGTTTCAGTAAACTCTGCACTGTAATAAACAACTGTATTGCTTTGTGAGATGCTGTGACGACCTGCGGGCCACCCTTGTGGCCGGGACGGACCGACGTGTCCCCGCAGGCGCCACAGTATGAAACACTGTGTGGTAACTACCTAACACTGTGTGCTCTGTGCTAAGAAACTGCTCTGTTATAAAGCAGGTCCAGACCTACAGAGCACTTGCTCTATGATCTGTAAACACCATTAAACAGAGTAACAGATTAGGGTATAAATTACATCACCATTAGTTAATATAGATAGTTATCATTATACTTACAATGGTGTGAGGAACTTTCTGTTCCTTATGTAAGTATTCGCTTGTTAATTGAATTAACTTCGATTATGTTTTACTGTATTAATACTTGGGGTGTTACTCTGTATTATAGTGATAAACAACTGTATTAATTAGTAAACCCCGTCTGTAAGAACTTACCCCTGTATTACTCCTCTCACCTTTACCCAACCTATTTAGCGACCTTACTAACCGTTTATTAATAGGTACAGGTCGTAACACGATACTTACGTCTACCCTTTAAAGACCAGTACTACAGGGCTTACAGATACTATGTCCGCTACCGGCTCCTCCACCTAGAACCCTTCCTCGGGAAACAATAATTAACCCGGAGATAATAACGTATCCCTAAACACCACTTAACCTCGGCCTTCCAACCCTAACTTGACTACAGATGATAATAACCTTTCCAGAGAAAAGTTATAAAAAATTATAAATAGGTTTATTACTTTAGTAGTAAATATATATAAAATTAAATCCGGAGTAAATGCTTGAATAATTAAGACCGGTAACCTTACCCCTTTCTCTGGAAAAGTATTGGAACTATCCCCTTAATTTACACACCTAAAGCTCAACTTCCACCTCCAGGGGATAACCCAGATAGAAACAAAGATCTTTTACGCCGCCTTATAGATAGAAGGCAACCCCAGCTTATGGTTTAAGGGTATCTTTAACGACTACTTTAATTTGGTATTAGATAAAAGGCGACTTATTATTAATAAGATCTTTAATGCTAACAAGGGTTAGGTTAACTTTAAAGAGGAAGTCACCAAGATGTATGGCGAACGCGATAAGTAGAAACAAGTTAAAGACTGCTTGAAACGTTTAACGTAGGTCGGCTTAGCAGCCTTTTACCCATCCGCCTTTAATTAGGATTATTATTATATTAACTAAGATAAGTCCGCCTTTAAACACCGTTTTTATAAAGGATTTAAGCCCTAAGTTAAAAACAAGCTATGTAAACTAAACCGCTATACACATAACTTTAACACTTACGCTAATAAAGCCATTAAAATTAACACCCGCCTGTATTAACGAAAGATAGAAAATTAAGGACGTTATTAAACGCCTAAACCATAGCTAAAGGCTAATAAAGGGAAGAGGTACTGACATTAGAGTACCACTTATAATACCCACTCCGGGCCTATAAATATCGGTATAATAGGAAAAATATAAGTAAGAGCTTGTTGCTTTGTAGCACTCTACAGGCCTGTATTACAGCACCTGAGAGCCTGTGGGAGCCTGTAGTACAGTGCTCCGGTCAGGGGAAGAAGTGCGAGTACAGTGCTCCGGAGGAGCGCTGTAGGGTATGACAGCAGAGCCTACTAGGGTGCTGAAGGAAGCAATAAAGGCCTGTATTACAGAGCCTAAAAGACAAGTTACAGCGGACTATACGCTGTAAAACAACAGGTTTCAGTGAACTCTGCACTGTAATAAATAACTGTATTGCTTGTGAGATGCTTGCTTCAGTAAGTAGTACTCAACTGAAGGAAGTAGATTGCTTGCTTCAGAGGAAAGCTAATTACAGGAGAGGAGATGGCTAGTTATAGGCTGTGGGAGCTCTGGAATAGAAATTCCAGAGCTTTCTACTACTAATACAATAATAGAATAGTATGGTGGAGGCTCTCCACAGGCCTTGTAATCACTGATGTGGCCTCAGAAGGTTGTGGAAGCCTGTGGGCTTCCAGAGCCTTCTGTGGCCCTCTGAAGGCCCTGAGGCCTTCTGGATTCCAGAAGGTTCGAAGCCACATTGTGGCTAGTGGGTGGTGGCTGCAGGTGCAGGGTACGCAGGAGGTGCAGGGTACCCAGTGGGTGCAGGGTACCCAGTGCCTTCCTCACTGGCAGGCCCTGTAAATACAGGGCCTCTTTAGCGCTCTCAGAGGCTAGAATTTAACAACAATATTACAAATCCAGAACTTCTTTAACATTAAAGTCTTCTTTATTAACGTATACTTTAATCCTCTTCTCAATAAAGATATTCCTTAAAGCTGGCTTAAAAAGGGAGATATAGAAAACCTTAATCCGTACCTTTATAGAGGTGGGTAAGTTAAATTTGTAATTAGAGGTGGTGATCTTCCTTTTAATAAGGAACAGTCTGAGTTTTTTAAAATCGAGTTTATAACTTAGCTGTTAAGTGTGTAGATTCCGTGAAAAAAGATAGATTAGGTCCCCCTTTTAAAGAGTTAATCCCTTGGTTTTTTTATTATTATAATAGTCCTTTATTTATTCTCAGGTGAATTCCAGTTCGGCCTTAAAATAGTTATATAATTCCTAAAGTCTATCAGCTTAGATAATAGCCCGAGGCGTATCTGTAAGTAGTCCTTAGCGGAGTTCTAGTTTCCGGCCAAATAATGCGAAGAATAAAGAGATCTTAGTTAACTTGATAATAGTAATGTTATAAGTTATCTGTGCAGTTAGTAATAGCTTAAGTTAGTTATCTTATTTAAAGTTAACAAACGCTTAAAGGTAAGTTTTAAAGGTTTAGTTTAGGCGTTTTATTTATCCGTCGGTCTAGAGGTGAAAAGCTGTTAACAGTTTACTTTTTACACCTATTTATTATATTAATCTTTATTAAAATTTAAAGATAAATAACTTATTTTAATTAAAAATAATATTATTAAGTTAAAGGTGTTAAAAGATAATGTTAAATTCTAGCCTCTGAGAGCGCTAAAGAGGCCCTGTATTTACAGGGCCTGCCAGTGAGGAAGGCACTGGGTACCCTGCACCTCCTGCGTACCCTGCACCTGCAGCCACCACCCACTAGCCACAATGTGGCTTCGAACCTTCTGGAATCCAGAAGGCCTCAGGGCCTTCAGAGGGCCACAGAAGGCTCTGGAAGCCCACAGGCTTTTATAACCTTTTAAGGCCACATCAGTGATTACAAGGCCTGTGGAGAGCCTCCACTATACTATTCTATTATTGTATTAGTAGTAGAAAGCTCTGGAATTTCCATTCCAGAGCTCCCACAGCCTATAACTAGCCATCTCCTCTCCTGTAATTAGCTTTCCAAGTAAGCAAGTAATTTACTTCCTTCAGTTAAGTACTACTTACTGAAGTAAGCAACTTATAAGTAATACAGTCGTTTATTACAGTGCAAAGTTCACTGAAACCTTCTGTTTTACAGCGCATAGTTCGCTGTAACTTGTCTTTTAGGCTCTGTAGTACAGGCTTTTGTTTGCTTCCTTTAGCACCTTAGTAAGCTCTGCTGTCGTACCTTACAGCGCTCCTCCGGAGCACTGTACTTGCATTTCTTCCCCTGACCGGAGCACTGTACTACAGGCTCCCACAGGCTCTCAGGCGCTGTAATACAGGCCTGTAAAGTGCTACAAAGCAACAATTATAAAGGTAAACTTTATTATCTTATTAAATAGTTAAACTACAGCCCTGAGTTAAACTTTTAAAAGCTAATTAATAATCTTCTTTACCTAGAACTAATTAAGAAATTTCACTGTAAAAATCCAGACCAACTATAATTAGCAAAAAGGCACTAACCCCAGAGGGCCACGGCGTGAAAGGTATTATAATAGTACTATTAGCTATGTAAAAACGGGTCCCTTTCCTTTTAACCTTGGTATAAGTTGAAAGGAAGGGACGAGTGACCTATGTGGGATTTGAACCCACGCCCTTTTATCAGGATAAACCAGCTTAAAAATAGGCCTTTATAACCAGTTTAACTGGCTATAAAAACTACTAAAATCGAGTGTACTAACCACTACGTTAACGGACCATTTTATTATTAAAACGTACCTTTATTACTATAACCCTTAACCCCGGTAACTAGCTTACTTTCCCTAGAATAAATCTAAGAATAATTATTAGTACAAGTACTACAACTAAAGGTAACGGCCTACCTTAAAAAGAAGTAGTTGTTAATTACGGTAAACCCGTAATTGTATCGCCATTTAAGAAGGCACCTTAGTCGAACAACTTAACTATCGCCTTAGGAGAGAAACCAGTTTGTATTTCCTTAGCCTCGAGGGACTGGATCACCTTTAAATCCTTATTAAACGCGGTGTAAACATTATTATTAATCACTTTTAGTTATTGTTTAAGCTGCTACGCCTTAGAAAAGGTAGTAGTAAGAGATTTCTAAGTAGTAATTATCTCCTCTGACACCTTGCTCCAGGCCTTATTTAACTTCTCCTTCTGAGAAATTAACTTCTGCTAAAAATCCGCGCTATTCCTAAAGGTGTTATAATAAACGTTTACGGATTAGTATATAAAGTAAGAATTAGAATCGGATAACGTAAGGCACTTACGCTAGGATTGTGTGACGACCTGCGGGCCACCCTTGTGGCCGGAACGGGCCGACATATCCCCGCAGGCGCCACCGTATTAAACACAGTGCGAGGGAACCTCACACTGCCTGCTCTAGAAGCTCAGTGTGCTCTTTACAGAGCATTAAGAGCCGACAGAGCACTTGCTCTATCGCTCTGCCCTGAGAAGTACCGAGTAACAGAGCAAAGGTATAAGTTACATCTCTATTAGTTAGTATAAATAGCTATTATCGTACCCACGATAGCGTGAGGAACCTTCTGTTCCTTATATAAGTATTCGCTTATTAATTGAACTAACTTCGATTATATCCTACTGTACTAACACTTAAAGTGTTACTCTGTCTTATAGTGATATACGACCACTATTAACTAGTGAACCCCTGTCTGTAAGGACTTGCCTCTGTACTACTCCTCTTTACCCCACCCAACCTATCTAGCGACCCTGCCGACCGTCTGTCGACAGGCCAGAGGTTGTAACAGATTGCTTGCACTGGGTGTAGGGAGATATCTCTTGATTAAACACGGAAATACGGGCTATAAGGTCCTTACGACGGTTAGTAGAGGAAGGCCTACACTTGTTAATATAATGGCGAGGTATGGCGAGGTTGTTAGAAGAAGAAACTTATAGTTATAATTTTCTTTATGGAAAAAGAAGTTAAAGAAGGGGGATCGTGTGACGACCTGCGGGCTACCTTTATGGCCGGGACAGACCGATATGTCCCTACAGGTGCTATAGTATAAAACACTGTGTGGTAACTATTTAACACTGTGTGCTTTATGTTAAGAAACTGCTTTATTATAAAGCAGGTCCAGACCTACAGAGCACTTACTCTGTAATCTGTAAATACCATTAAATAAAGTAACAGATTAAGGTATAAGTTACATCACCATTAATTAATATAGATAACTATCATTATACCTATAATAGTGTGAGGAACCTTCTATTCCTTATAAGTATTCGCTCGTTAATTGAACCAACTTCGATTGTGTCCTACTACATCAACACTTGGGGTGTTACTCTGTATTATAGTTATAAACGACCGTATTGACCAGTGAACCCCGTCTGTAAGAACTTGCCCCTGTATTACTCCTCTCGCCTTCACCCAACCTATCCAGCGACCCTGCCGACCGTTCGTTGACAGGCACAGGTCGTAACAGATGTTTAAGGAGAGGAAAGCTAACTACAGGAGAGGAGAGGGCCAGTTATAGGTTGTGGGAGCTCTGGAATGGAATTCCAGAGCTTTCTACTACTAATACAATAATAGAATAGTATGGTGGAGGTTCTCCAGAGGCCTCGTCATTGCTTATTTAGCCTCAGAAGGTTGTGGAAGCCTGTGGGCTTCCAGAGCCTTCTGTAGCCCCATGTAACAGGGGGCTTCTTCCACTGGATTCTACTCTAGGGAGCCTTAATGGCCCCACAGGGGCCACAGGGCCCCCTGAAGGCCCTGAGGCCTTCTGGATTCCAGAAGGTTCGAAGCCACATTGTGACTGGTGAGTGGTGGGTGCAGATGCAGGGTACACGGGCCATCCTTCACTTGTAGGCCCTGTAATACAGGGCCTCTCCAGTGCTCTCAGAGGCTAGAATTAACAATTTTTATCCAGGCTAACGCTTTAACCCATAATTATAAGCTGGTATAAGAGTGGTTAATGGAATGGGCTGCATAAAATGGCGTTAGACTTGTGGGTTAACCACCTTATTCGCCTGACCTTAACCCGATCGAGAACGTCTGGCATATCTTGAAGGCGAAGATAGTAAAGTAATACCCCCATTTAGCAAGCCTTCTTAAGAATGAGGCCGTAAAGTAGGAGCTAATTAAGGCTGCTATTTACATGTGGGAGGAGATGTAAAAAGAGGTGTTAAAATCAGCTGCTTTTATCGATGCAGCGGAGGTTAGAGGCGGTTATCGAAGCCAATAGCTGGTTTACCAAGTATTAATATAATTCATTCGATTCCTCTGCTTCTTGGCTTTCTAGAAATACAATTTGTATGGCGATATCTATATAACTGACATATTGGCGCAGCTTTTAGTTAGGGAGGCTGGATTCAGGGAAATCCTGAAATGCATGTGGTCGATACTTCTGCCACCCCATTGTATCACGCCCAGCCAATCAAAACCGCGTCCACCTTTCTTCACAAATCTACTTCCTGGTGTTCCAGGAAAATTGATACGCCCAATAGGTGAGGCTGACTGCTGGTCGATCCACCGCCTTGTGCACAACCCACGCAGCCGCGATGGTAAGGGGAAGCAACACGACGTGTGTCGCAGTGAAGAAGGGCTCCAGCCCCAATGGCCCCGAAGCCGGCAGCAACTTCCTCATTGCTCCGTACACGTTTTCCCCGACAAGCCAGAGGACGGGGCCATGAGCAAGGTACAAACCAAACGAAATTTTCCCAAGAAACTGACAGAACCTAGACTCCAACCATCTCTTCAACCATCCAATGCGCGAAACAGCCCATACCAAGCACATGGATGCCCAAAACAAATAAAACCATTTGGGGTCAGCCATTGCCCCTGGCTTCAGGAACGAAAGCGCGAACCAGCCGGGGTTTCTCCTGAGACCATCGAGCTCCAAATGCGGTACGCCCCCAAGATACAACCCGGCGGCAAGGACCAAATACTGGTACATGTTGCAGCTTATCGATGACTTTTGAGACCCATCATCCAGCTCGCAGAGAAACACCCCACCGAAGAACAGGGCGCCATACCAGCCATCCACGACATACAAGAAATAAATAATTAAACCGACTTCAACGCCAAACCTCCACCTCCTCGAGCTCCGAGCCATGGCCATCCAGAAAAAGTAAATCATCAGGGAACCCTTGAACTCGATGGGGACCGACCACAAGTGCGTGTTGTAGCTGAACCAGGGGCTGCTCGTCTGGTCGAATACGAAGCTGTACCTCCTCAGCTCATCGACAAAGCTCACAAATTCGTCCCACCATCCCAATTGCCATTGAATTCCCTGCGCTCGCAGTCCGCAGGCTCTCGCGAGGACCAAATACGCAAAGGTGGTGCTTGCAAAGGGGATGTAGAGCCGGAGCCAGCGGCGGAACAACGCAGACGAAATGCATTCCCCAAGTCTTGTCATATCTCCCCTTTTAACATAGCTAAGAGGTTTGACGGATAGTGAGTATCCCGAAATGACGAAAAATGCAGCCACGGCGAGATGGCCACCGGAGAAAAGAGTACGTATGCCGGGGAATGTGGCGAGGTGGTATCTCCCCCGGAAACCGAACGCCGTTTCCAGCGTCAGAGCGGAGGAATCATGGGCTGCTAGTTGGTGGTGATGCCAGTAGACGAGGAGGGCACAAACACCTCTGAGGCCGTCGAGGTATGCTGTGCTGTTTCGATCGTCTCGTCTTTCGACTGACTTATTCCCGCCGCCGTTTTGGTGGGTAGACTCCATTGTGGGGAATTTCGATGGTGATTTTTGGTTCAGGAATGGGATGTCGGTTGTGGGCAAGTGGACAATGAAAGGAGCGGGCCAGCCGCACTTATACATCTGATTCAAGGGCCACTCCTGTGCCGCAGGATCCTGCGGTCCAACACGCCCTGGAAAATCCCAAGCAGGAGATTAACAATAACATTGTCCCACGAAAGGACGCAACTCAAATCCGACAACATTTTATCTATTGCTATTTCACTGCCCCTTCATACTCCCAACCAACGGCGTGTCCAAATAGTAAATACTAAACATATTCAAACCAACCTTCGTCCCCGAAGTAACCGGTAAGCTAGCATGCACCATCCTCTCATCTCCCGTCCCGTTCATATGAGCACTAATCCAAAATACCGCACTACCTCTGCGCGGTTTCACAAGCAGTCCCTTCCCCGTGCTCGACCTCGAGAACTTGGTCCCCTCCGCATTATCCGGAACCCCTTGAACCTCTGGAAAATACGTCTCCCCCCCCGTGCACGAATCATCCAAATACGCAAAGACACTACCTGCCCGATTGTACGGACGTGGAGATCCGTCCTTGCCCGTTGCTTCCAACGGCCGGGTGAGCCAGTCGTTGTGGAGGTTGAAATAGCCACCGACCCCGTACTTCACCAGATGCAGTCTTTCTGTGTCTTCGTGTTGTACGTTCCCCACGAGGGCTTTGAGCCGTTGGGAGAGGCATTGGCTTACAGGGTCGTCAATGTCAACTAGGGCGGATTGGGAGGAGCGGTAGGATTTGTCGACTACGGCTTGGCCGTTTAGGAAGACGCGGGAGTCGTCGAATTCGTTTTTTCTATGTCGAGTTAGGAGTCGTGATCTTGGTAAGTCCCTTGAGGTAGGATTGACTTACGTGATTTCGAGCAGATGCTGAACTTCCGACTCCTTGATGAAGTTGTCAAGGTAGAACACCACGGGGTTCAAAGACATGATGTTGATGGTATAGTTGTGAGAGCAGTCACGGATGGCGATGTTGGTGCTGCTCAAGTTGTCGTTAAGACGGGCCGTGAGC